TCTTGAAGGATGGAAGATGGGATAAACAAGGTCGATACAAGAATTGATTGAATAGGTTTATCATTCGAATACGAATAACTGGCCACCATAGGTAGTACTGCGAACAACAACATATATGCATCTACCATGCCAGTCGCCACGATTAACTTTAAGTGGCAGCTGAAGAAAAGCAGTCAGAACTTAGTTTAATTTTGAATAGTCTGTACACTAGAATCCTGCCGATATCCCCCGGGCAGTTATTGGGTTAGTATACGTCGTGTTCTGTGTACGCCCCACTATGATATTACGAACGCATTCTACATCACATATTCAATAAGTGGCATTGAACTCTGGTGGCGGGGGGGGGGTACTCATAGTCGTGCATGCCGTAGTCATTAGACCATTGACCTCGCATCCCTACAAAGCCGGGACGGAGCACGCCGGGTTCGCACCGGACCAGGCTCTCACATCACCAAGCGCGAAGCGCCGTGAGGTATTTGGCGAGTCGCATGAAGGGTGAGCTGCATCCTGCTAAGGGTGTTCGGCATCTTGTGCTTACTTCCTTGCGTACGGATGACAGCTACGTATTTCTTACTTTATTTTCTGGTGCGTTCACTTCCAGAGACAGTTGTAAGCACTGTGTTACTGCCTCGAGGGTGCTTGACCATTTTAACACAGCGTGGTGCGATCATCCCCCTTGCGCGGAGTGAGGGTTCTCCACCCCGCACAACATGATCTACTCGACCACCATTATGGTTACCGCCAAAAAAAAAAACGAGGTAAAAAAAAAAAAAAACGGTAACCTGGTTGCCGAGTTCACCAAGTGAATTGGCTTGTTTTACAACGTCGTTGCCAAGCGACGAAAACCCAATCCCGATGGCAAACACCGAGGGGGGGGCTTGTTTTACAACGTCGTTGCCAAGCGACGAAAACCCAACCCCGATGGCAAACACCGGGGGGGGCGGCTTGTTTTACAACGTCGTTGCCAAGCGACAAAAACCCAAACCCCGATGGCAAACAAGGCCGAGGGGGGGGAAACGGGGGGGGGGGGAAG